CTCTATTTGTTACTGAATTACAATTCCCAGGGTCCCTTACTACTGGCCAGGAGACTGCTAGAAACTGTGATCCAGCAATGTCCAGAGGTCCATACGTTTCCTATTCCTGCCTTACTTGCCCAGAATTTATCCCATGAGAAAAGAAGAAGTTTTGATAAGAAGCTGGAATAGACAACATACCTTGGGAATGGTAAGCTTTTCTCCCTTCTCCGAACATTCCTCTGTGTCAGAACAGGTGTAATTTTCATTGAATGATGCCAAAGCATTGACTCTTGGTCTATGAATAGCTTGGAAGGTCAACTGGGTATTAAGCAGGTTGCTCACTGTTCGGAGGGAGGTGCAGACGTTGGGTGGTAAAGAAGGATCTGCTAGAAGGTCAGTAATGAGTCCATGAGCTTCTCCCATGACAGCAATATCTACTGTAATACTGGTACCTGAAGACTGGAAAGAGAAGAAAAAGAAACATTAGCCCTAAATTAGAAAGTAAATAATGCATAGCTACCCAAATGTGATCTGTGCAGTATGAAGTTTATTCTCATGGGGGGAGGGCTGCCCTGGTGCCTACTGGCATTGCACTGCTGACCTAGGCAGCACAGAAGAAAAAAAAAGCATAATTCCTGTCCTATGGTTCCATTAATGGGGGTCACCATCTGCCTGAGGATGCTGTTTGCACATTAAATGGAAAGACAGAACATAAATGAAGCAATTCCTACTACTTCTAGTTTGACTTATGATGTAAACACACATGCTCTTTAGAAGAATTTGTATGTCTTTCAGGGGCTCTAGCTCATTCCATCTTTTTGTCCCCAGAACCTGAGAATGGATGACAAGGCTTTGAGAAGATAATTCCCTATAGACTTTCTTGATAGTAGTCTACATCAATGTTAGCCTGTGTCCTATTTTGCCTTCCATTCAAGGAAAAAGGCATTCAAGGTGGGAAATGCAATTTCAGACCTGATTAACCATTGAAAATATGGGCCCTTCCATAGGTCCTAGCAATCAAGATTGCCAACCATCACAAAGCAAAACAAGAAACAAACAAACAAAAAAAAAAGGAGGAAGGGAGCGGGAGAACTAAAGATAATCTACAGGACATCAGAAAGCCAGCAACAAGAGGCCAACAATTTATCATGAGCTGATATAGTTTCCAAGGCAGATCATGAACTTGCTGGCCAAGACTTGAAAGTAAACATATTTCCTTTTCTCCACTGTTCTCCATGCCTTCAACCTCTTTAATTTCCAAAAAAACTTGAACGGCACATGACGGCAGTTTCTGTGGAAACAGCCAGTCATTTTAGAGTTTGCAGTTCAGCCCCAAAAGGGATTTACCAGGACTGAAAATACATTCCGTAATTTTTTAAACATGTTTTCTTAAAGAAATTTGGGCTCCTTTCACAAAAATAATGGGTGTGGACTTGACAGACCTCATAAAGATAATGTCCACCCCCCCAATGAGTTGTCATGTCATCATGGCAACTGGTGTAAGAACTGAGCCAGTATGGAAACTAATGATGTTTCTATTAAGTGACCACCTCTGCTTCTTGCCTTTGCTATAAGCATGTTGCTTCACACCACAGCAGAGTTAGCCCATGTATTCTCCTGGAAGAGCCATGTTGAGTATAAAATTGACCCAAACTAAAATTGACTCCTGGGTTCTTCTGAGTCCACAGCTTTGCCTTCTATTAGTTTTGGCTTCGCATCCTTTTCCTTCTAGTGCTGGATTGTAGTAATCCCTTCTTTTGCATTCTCTCCTCCCATTCAACTGTTCTCTTTTGGCTCCTCCTCTTTGTTGTCTACCTCTCTCTACCTTATTTCTTTTCTGTGCCCTATGGGTCTGTTTCTCTAGCTTAGCTTTGTTTTGACCTCTATCATAGCCCTTTGGATTCACCCCCTTCTTATTGTCTGGTTCATTTAGGTTTCCTGATACTCTCAATATCATCCAAGGGACCCAACATCTGCATGAAATATCCTCATGAGGGCATCCTCTTGATGCCTAAACAAAACAAGCCATCTGGATAACGGCCTCCGTCCTTGCAAGATGAGACGTGGCTTTGAAATAACCAGGAAGAAGGCAATCAACCATAGTTAGAACAAGCCATAGATAAGAAGCAGGATAAAATCTGGCCTTTTTCATCAATCCCTTGATTCTTTACCTAAATTACTGTGCTCCAGATATAAGAGAAAATATAATTAATCAAAACAGCCTCCTGAGTTTGTCTATTTTTCCAACCGTTGGGATAATTTAGTCCCTACTGTTTTGTTTTTGGCTATTTTGGGACAACATGAATGAATATATATGGAAAATCTTTAGTCTCTGACATGTCCCACTTTGAGATGATAAAAAAAAATACTGATATCATCAAGAGTTTGGAATTTCCTCTGTGACAGGAAACACAGCTGTTCGGTCCCCTTTATTCCTCAGTATTTGGTAGAGAGCAGGGGTAGAAAAGAAAGACAAAACAATTAAAGGTATTGATCATGAATTATCTATCTATCTATCTATCTATCTATCTATCTATCTATCTATCTATCTATCTATCTATCTATCTATCTA